ACATTACTTCTTCCCAGCATCCCGCATGGCTCGCTTTTGGAAAATTATACTTATGCGGAACAGGGTTTTTTTTTTGCCCCTTCCCGCCATTTTTACAGGATAATCCGCTCTAGCGTAGAGCGCAAACAGGACCATGTCAATATCAACAGCAACAGCGGATGATAAAGGTTTGTGCTGAAAGGGAAAGCGTTTCATCACGATCCTAAAGGGGAGGGGGTCGTTATGACGCTTCTCCTCCCTCTCCCCCCAATCTTCCCCGTCGCTCCGTGTGGATACCTCCATCACGGATGAAAAAGTGGCCATCCAGGATTCTTCCGCAGTATGAGGTTTGCAAGAAATAGGCAGCCGTCTCTCAGCAAAAAAGGTTTGCGTGTTCCTTTCAATTTCAGTATTTCATTAATGGAAAGATTTTATGACATTCAAACGATATCCAGCTGTGTCCTCGAATTTAATGAGTTATGAGCTTCTTGCTATCGAGGTAAAGGATGGTACGATGTGGGTCAAAGTATTCTAACGAGGCAGTTCTTATAAGACTTATGGTTCCAAGAAAAGTTGATCAAGACTTTCCCAAAGTTCAGTCATATGAGAGTGCAATTGTTTGGAAGCAGGATATTGTAAGGTAAAAAGAAGAACTTGGAATGTACTTCCAATGAATTAGTTATCCAACGCTATCACCAGTGATGAGATGCGCCGCAACCGCGCGCTACCGAGAGGTTCCGAACTTTTTGAACTACGTAGCATGCGCAGTCTCTGACAATAAGAAGATACGAAAAGTTTGTACCTTCACTCCTTTTACTTCGTCATCGTCAAAATTGCCAATGTCAAAGGCGTCAGCTGCGTTCACTTCACCTCGAGGCGGAATGAGTGGAGGTGTCATCCGACGCAAATAAACGGTCTGCCAGTCGACATCGCGGAAGAACGGATGCTCTTTTCACTTCCGACAGGTCTGTAGAACAAAATGAGCTTCCCAGTACTGAGGAATATCCAAACAAAACTTTGTAAAGTACGAAAACTGTCGGAAATTGACGCCTCGCTCCTTGCATCCAAGTCTGTCTGGCACATCTCGTTTCAGCAGTCCTTCCAAAAGGTCACGACAGTCTGGAGACAGGCCTTCGTTAGGCAGCTCGATATCTTGCGTTAACGTCACTTGTGCGATTTCAAAGTCTTGTCATTGCTTTTTGTGTTGGCGCGAATGGAAAGGACCCTAAAAACTGTGGCGAAAATGCATATTGCTCTCTAACCTGCACTTTAACTTGCTGACTTACCTTTAATAGTTTATAAAGCATACATCCTAGAGAGAACCAGTCAGCTGATGAATCATATGCTACACCTTTAGCAAGCACTTCTGGTGCCATGTAGCCATGAGTACCGCTGAACAGAACCCCTTCGCTATTGAAGTGCTGACTGAAGACAAATCACAGGCAAAAAGACTCACACACTGGCATGGGGTTTCTTTTTTGAAAAGTCACAGGCTAAGCCAAGATCAGAGACTCGGACCTGAAATTGTCGAACAGTGAAAAGATTGGAGCAAAGAGGCCACATATCACACAGTCAGTTTTCAGCGAGGTCTCGCCCCGTACTGGGTTGAATTAGATTCAAGGCAAGGCAAGTTTGAAGGTGCCGCACTGCAGTTCCATTGATGAGGCCCTGTGGGTCAAACCAAAGTGTCTATCAGACAGCGATTAATTGGTAACTGAAATTATGTGGCGAAGGTGATCTGTTCTGAGGGCATCACTCCCCAGATGTAAATTATGTGGTGGCTCTATACCTTCCTGTTCTTGCTACATAACAGAACATCTTAAAAGAAGTCATTTATTTCTTCTACAAGCAGAACCTACATTACCTAGACCCTACACATCAACGTTGACTCGCCTTGACCTGAGTTGACATTGAACACATTCGCTAATCCTACCCAGTCACTTCCGAGCGGGTCCGCCGTAGTGGTCGACATAAATCTCCCGAACGATGAGCTAGAAGCCTATGCCGGTAAGGGCCAAGCGTTCGGGATTACTGACTGACAAGTAGACCACAAGTCACTGCTTCCGCAGCGACTACTCTGCCGCTTACAAGCTGACAGCCTCTGAGCCAGGGATTTGGCGCATCGATCCCTGGCAGGCAGCGGTAGATTTCCGACAAGACCGACAACGAACAGCCGACGCGACGCGACGCGAACTAAGCCTTGTCCTCCGCCCTTCGACGTTTAATAATACGCGTAAGGGCGCAAGCGATGATTAGCGACAGCATCATGAACTGGAGTTTCAATGACAGTGGCTAAGTACCAGTATCAATGGCGGCAGTTACCACCTGCGCGTCCTGTTTCAAAAATCATGATCCGGGCCGACTACCGCTCAAGCCAACCAAGCCTTCTACCCTTGGAACGGTAAATTTTAACCAGCAAGTTATTGTATAGGCCACATCGTATTCAGTGAACCACTACGATTCTGAATGGAAGTGGGATGCATGCCGCATCCTACACATGTCTCTGTATAAGTAACTGCTGATTCTGCAATTAATGATAGGAGCGAGTTCATGGCGTACACCAGAGGATACCAATTGGTCCAGTTCTTCTTCTAGTGTGTTGCCCGGGAGATAAGAAGGAAAGGCTAAAAAGTGAAGGACTGAAAAGAATGGAAATTAGCCGCGCTGATAACAGTCCTCTATTGCACGCCCCTCTGAAATCGGGATTTGGCGTTCGGAAAGAGTTGAATTTTGGTCTGGCTTACAAGGGTGTATTTCTACGGAAGCACAATTTCTTACCCTCACATACGATTCTGGGATAAAATGGTCAGGCCTTCGGAGAAGCGAACAGTTTTGCTGGCATCCTATTGTGGAAGTCGATCTCGACATCCGCAGTTTGCAGACGCGGCTTTGGTTGAGTGAGGGCGCACTTGTCATGGCACAACACATCCTTTTCTGACTAAAAACGCTGCTTGGCAAACGTGTTACCATTTTGAATCCCTGACGCCATCGCCCATCAAAAATCCTGGCTGGTTTCTAAATACCCAACAATCCACACTTAAATTCCCACACCAACCACAGGCGCTGGCTTCTTCTGCCTGTGCATTACTGAAGGTTCAGGACAAGGAAGTTTTTACACGAAAGTTTCAAGGTGCGCGATCGCTCATCCCACGAAACAGAAAACACACAAAAAAGAGCTGAAAAATACCCCCGGTTGATGGACGATGGTTGATGGGGGTTGCGATGGTGACAACCGGTGATTGAGGCTTGAAAAAACAAGCCCATTCATCAATCTAAAAACTGCGTCACACGAGGGGTAAGATGATAAAATGCTCGGTTGCTATCTTCGTTTAAGAGACGTCGTTCATTCTAACTGTCTTTTCAAATAAGGTCTTGATTCGCCGCGTCGGCAGGCGTGCGAACGTTGGCCCCGCTAATTGACGACTAATTTCAGGTGGTATTGGTTGAGGATAGACATGTAATGATCAAAAATAAGACACTACGTCTATCATATTCTTGTCTACATGAAATCCGAGGCTCCATTCAAACGATAGTGCAAAGTAACGGAACCTCGCGCCCACTGACGCGCGCGGCGAAAGCGGCAATATACGGTTCTGTTGCCTGTCTCCGCGATGACTTATGGGTGTGGACCGGAGGTGCGAATGTGGTAGCACGGTCGAAGGGACTTCTCATGTGGCCTCCACGGCTCCTAACGTTGAGAAAAAATTTGCCAGTTACGACCCCACTCAAAGCTTCCTCCTCTGGTACGGCTTCCCTCTCACCATCCCCTCCTACGTACGATGCTCCTAAGGTTATCCCAACTCGCAACTAAGAGACCCCCCCCCCCGATTAACGTGTGACGTCGTCTCGAACTAGTACTAATGATAACAAGGAAAGGACGGTTGGTCGAAGTGGGCCTATTGTTAAGAGCAAGATGGCATACACACCAGTTGTGTCTTCGGACGTTGATTTCATTCTCTTTCCATATCTGCTAACGATTCTCTGAGCAGAGGTTTGTTGTACGGAAGGCATCAATATTGGTACAACAAATGAGACGTGAGTCGTCACAGCAGTTTTGCGAGGCTAGGAGACCTGATTCTACCAAAAAATTTTATTTCTGATGTGATAGAGCCATTCTGGAACACTCCTAGTGGGAACTCCTGATTGTTGGTTTCGGCGGCATTATTCGTTCCGTCGTGTTGTGAGGCCAAACTGATTCCAGATGGCATGGAAGCCAAAAGTGGATGTCGTGGTTGTTATCAGGACCGTCAGTAACCAACAAGGACTAAGATTTAGCGAGGAACCTCCACTGCTCACAGAGATTTGAATCGGCGATAGTGCCAGCAACCTTTAGGAATTGGCTGCCTATGGTTACCCCACTGTATCGAAAATAGGTCGAAATCTCAAATTTGGTTGAAAACTTGTCTCTAGGGCTAATTTGAGCCCCAGAGCACGAATATCACACTCGTTCGGACGCAAAACGCTTAAACCCAAAAAAAAGACGTTGGCAGGATCCTGCAACTGCACGTGCGCCCCTCCAGAATGCGTACAAGACGTTTTCACGAAATATGACTGCAGTGTTGATTTCCAGGGCACTGAAGCACCTCTAGTTTCAGATTCCAGCCAATTTGGGCAATTTGGAGCACCTCATATACATGCTGGAAATGGTGTGACCTGGTCAAAAATCCTGCATAACTTTGTCCAGGAAATCGTTTAGCAGATATGGAGGGCAGATTTGTAATCAGCGTCCAAAGGCCCATCGGGCAGTATACGTCTCATTTCGAATGGCCACTTCGACCAACCATCCTTATCCTTTGTAAGGGGCCAGCGTGAAACATGTGGACTCCGTGAGTCTGGACCTGATTTCGGTCGTACTGTGCAAAAAGGTCAGGAATCGAAACCTAAGTAGCTAGTGACTGCGGTGAGAGCAGTCTTCCAAAAAGGAAAGCAGGTACTGTTGAGCAGGCAAAGGTCCGGCCACTTCACAAATGTCCGTTCTGCGTCAAGAGCAGTAATATTTGGCCCGGTTTTAGGTCTCGGTAGACAACAAAACGATTATGCATGTGTTCCAATCCAAGGATCACCTGGAATAAGTGTGTCTGAAATAACAAATTATGGGCAGTAAGTCGAAAAAAGAACGCACTTCTGAAGCGTAGAACAGCATTTCTGGCTCGCTAAACACGCCATGCTGGGAGAGATGGTAGTGAAGGTCGCCGCCATTCATCAGGTCCAGTATAAAGCAGAGTTTATCAGGCGTTTGAAAGGCGTATGTCATGCACACGATGAACGGACAGTCTTGCTGAAATCATAATTGCAATTCAGAATATGCCTTCCAGATGTTTAACTAGAACTCTTTCAAAGACAGTCTCCGCTCTCGAGTAATTTGTGGGGGTCCTTTCCTTGAAAAGTAGTCTGGTCCTCGTCAGAACGTTGTTGCAGCATCAAAGGCCAAAGTTGATAAAAAAAGGGCGGAGATCTCAGGCCTTG